AGCGTGTAATTGAATAAGCTCCCGTGATAGTTATTCATTACTGAAGACGCCGAGCATCAGCTTGTTAGTTTCACCCGCGTGACCGATTAAGTGTGTACTTTGATAGATGGGGAAAGAGGCCTTGGGGAAATTAGCAGGTGATTGAAAGATGCAGAAAACAATGTGAAAAATACATGACTGGTTAAAATGGATTATAAATGAGGTGGAAAACGACGAAGTAATGAATTTAAACAAAAGGAAGAAAAATGTTTCGCAAGTTTAGATTTATTAGTTTGGACAGAGCGATAAAAATGCACATGTGTGCGTATTAATGTAATATTTTATGTATGGGAATTATTATAATATATAATGTAGAATATTAATATAATATTCTATGTATGGGCATTATTATAATATATAATGTAGAGTATTAATATAATATTCTATGTATGGGCATTATTATAATATATAATGTAGAGTATTAATATAATATTCAATGTATGGGTATTATTATAACATAATGTAGAGTATTAATGTAATATTCAATGTATGGGCATTATTATAACATATAATGTAGAGTATTAATATAATATTCAATGTATGGGCATTATTATAACATGATGTAGAGTATTAATATAATATTCAATGTATGGGTATTATTATAACATAATGTAGAGTATTAATGTAATATTCTATGTATGGGTATTATTATAACATATAATGTAGAGTATTAATGTAATATTCTATGTATGGGCATTATTATAATATATAATGTAGAGTATTAATATAATATTCAATGTATGGGCATTATTATAACATATGATGTAGAGTATTAATGTAATATTCTATGTATGGGTATTATTATAACATAATGTAGAGTATTAATGTAATATTCAATGTATGGGTATTATTATAACATATAATGTAGAGTATTAATGTAATATTCTATGTATGGGTATTATTATAACATATGATGTAGAGTATAATATTCAATGTATGGGCATTATTATAACATATGATGTAGAGTATTAATGTAATATTCTATGTATGGGTATTATTATAACATATGATGTAGAGTATTAATGTAATATTCTATGTATG